GTATCTCAGCTCTTGTTAGTTAATTTTCAGACAAGCCCTGATTGAAATGATAAATTTTACCAAAAGGTGCTGAAAAGATTTACACATTACTATTTGCCCATCCTTGCTGAGGCTCATAAGAAAAATATGATTAAGGTTCGCATTAAATATAAATATAATAAAAGTATCCAAATTTAGTGGTTAAAATAATACATCTCATTACAATGATTTACTGGTAGTCTCGAAACCCTACTTTCTTACTAAAATAATATGGTATCAACAGCATTCATGCTTTCTTGCTAAGCTCGACCAAAGTCGATTTAAATTGTGTTTTATCATTATATTGCTCACCCCACTTGGGACATTATCTTATCAAAACCACAACCATCGTTTTTATACAGATTTAAGGGTAGTTTAAAGCACTATATCGAAAAATATTCTTAAAATATCCCCTTTGGTCCATGATGGCAATCACAAAATTGCATTATAAGTGATCCTAGAGTATATTATAATTTTGGAGTCATGGCCTATAGAAATTCAATGCAAAATCAAGCATCATTAGCAATTAATTATAAAAAGAGTAAATTTCAATATATATATATATATATATGCATTATTGCATTTATGTATGTATGTGCAAGTTCCACCACAGATGTAAATAAACTACTACTTACCATGCTACCAAGCTTGCCCTCATTCACCACTTCCAACTCATTGGTTGCCCTGTCGTTTATACGGACACGTCGGAACACCACTAGGGGATTGCCAGCTGAATCAGCCAACTCTGGATACGTTACACGAAGTCGTGGAAGTTGGCCCTCTCCAACCAGCTCAAAGCTAAGTGGTGAAGGATAGGCTAAGTAGCCCCCTCCAGTGACGTTTGCGAGAGCTGTGAAAGAGCCTGAGGTAGACACGGTGGAATCCATAATTGCGGCTACGGCAGGAGATGCTGCCACCGGAAGGTAGGATGAACGCGAAAGCATGCTAGCCTGCGCGCCTGGGGCACCGGTCACACTGGGGCTAACACCAGGACCGGGGAAAAGGGTAGTAGGTAATCCACTTCCTGGCACATTGAGAAGACCAATTTGTGATCCTAAAGAAAGGCCTGAGGGTAGGTTCTCAATAGTAGCCTCAAAATTGGCCGTATAAGTCTTTCGAGTTGGTAATCCGAATAAAGAAGGTAAATGTAAATAAATATATATATGTAGATATTCAATGAAGTATACATAAATTTCCATAAATATGTTAGTTCATACAAACCACTAACGATATCAATTGATAAGTAATTTAGGCTGGTTTTTATTTTTCCAAAAATGAGCGCAATTTATACTGTTTTATTACTACTTCCTCGCACGATTCCATTTTACAAGAGCACTAGAGATGAAAAATAATCTGCTGCAGCTAGGTTTTGCGATAGATGATCGCTAAATAAAGTAATAATTATTTTAAAATATCACCTTAATCATAAACCTGGATAAGAAGAAATCTATGATGAATATACAAAACCATAGAAAAAGCAGTGTGAGGTGTAACTAAACTTCATATGAAGCAAGCAAGAGATTAGGTCTAACAGATTACAGCATTTTATTGAGAAATATGGAAATGGAAAGGTTTCTTTATCGAGTTCTAATTGGAAAAAGGTGAGTTTTTTATGCTTATGCAAATCGTCAGAACAGCTCACTCTTTTGACTTAAAGGTCGATACCTTTAATGAATTCAGTCCAAAAGATGCGTCTGCAACACAAAGTGACTAAATCGTGATAAAACTGTTCAGATAATGCCAAACTAAATGATTTTATTGTTGAGCTTGGCAGTTTTACATCTCTGGTTTATTCACCTAGAATTTTAATTGAACGTCCTTAATAAACTTCGTAAGAAAAGGCTTAATGATGGGTCATTTTAATTCCTTGAAAAGAAAGAAGTTCAATTTGGAAAGTTGACTTCAGCACGGGCTTAGATGTACTTTAACGATCTAGATTAGAGTAAAGAAATAATGAAAAACTTCCTTTAGAAACAAAAATAAATTAAAGCTTGACCATTTTCGAATCTAACAAGGTTTGCATTACCTCTTCTGATAATATTATTGAATCTCACATAGCATAAAGACACTGCCGATTGCTTGGCATTCACTTGTGGAAATAAAGTTCTATGCAAGCAATACTTCATTAGTCGGATTAGGGCGTATTTACTACATACTTTACTTTCCGTCTATATCTACAACAAAACAGTCCAAGCATCGAAGTAATGTCCTAGCAAATCTTATTATTGTATATTCTTAATATGAACACCTATAAATAAGCTCTATGCATATTTCATGTCCCTATTAAACCATGTGATTATTATTATTAGTAAATTGGAACTAGTGACCTTGAATATAAAAAGATAAATAACTAATTAAACAGCTTTTGGGCAAAAATCGCCAAAATAGGATTTCTTATATTTCGTGGCATATTAATTGTTCCAAATTTTATTTGACTCACTTGCATCATGAACGGAGTAAAAGTAACAGTAACATAGAAGGTATCCATTGGCCTTATTTGTATGCGTTCCGGATCAACGTGAAACACTTCACTAGCTCCACTAACGACCGCAGCAGGTCCAGGGCTACTTCCTGCTCTGTGAGTACCGCGTGCAGTGGTGCCTCCTCCTACACCCGGAAGGCCAGAAAGACCTGACGACGTTAGACGAACCCGACAAAAAACATCAGCAGGCACTTTACTCTGGTTGGTTAGTCGGAATCGTACCTTTACTTGGCTACCGATCAAAACTGGTGGAAAGAGAAACCGGTTTTCGGCTAGGCCAAAAAGCCCTCCTCGTTCGAACTATGAAAGGGGAAAGGATTGCAAAAGATATAGAACGAAGTGAAATAAAACTAAAAATTTAATTACTCTAATGAAAAAAGCTGAAGACAAAAATGCCAGATTTAATAGCTTCAAACAGAGGAATACTAATATGTAAATCCAGGTATCAAGGACATTAAAAGCTCAATTTACTTACAGTTAGCTAGGCTAAATTATATCTATACTCCTTCAGTTAAGCT